CGACCAGTGAGGGACTGGGATTGGGACTGGGATGGACTGCGACGGACTGGGACGGACTGGGATGGGACTGGGATTGGGACTGGGATGGACTGGGAGGGACTGGGATGGACTGGGATGGACTGGGATGGACTGGGATGGACTGGGATTGGGACTGGGATGGACTGGGAGGGACTGGGATTGGGACTGGGGGTGACTGGGATTGGGGTTGGAGACTCCACGGCCATGGAGTCCATCCAGGGAGAGGCTCCCCGGGGAGGAACCTTCGACACCGACGACCAGTGAGGGACTGGGATGGACTGGGATGGACTGGGAGTCACTGGGAGGGACTGGGAGTCACTGGGAGTCACTGGGAGTGACTGGGATTGGGGTTGGAGACTCCACGGCCATGGAGTCCATCCAGGGAGAGGCTCCCCGGGGAGGAACCTTCGACACCGACGACCAGTGAGGGACTGGGACGGACTGGGAGTCACTGGGATTGGGGCTGGGATGGACTGGGAGGGACTGGGATTGGGACTGGGATTGGGGTTGGAGACTCCACGGCCATGGAGTCCATCCAGGGAGAGGCTCCCCGGGGAGGAACCTTCGACACCGACGACCAGTGAGGGACTGGGATGGACTGGGATGGACTGGGATTGAACTGGGATGGACTGGGATGGACTGGGATTGGGACTGGGATTGGGACTGGGATGGACTGGGATGGACTGGGATGGACTGGGAGGGACTGGGAGTCACTGGGAGTCACTGGGATTGGGATTGGGATCAGGCATTGGAGACTCCACGGCCATGGAGTCCATCCAGGGAGAGGCTCCCCGGGGAGGAACCTTCGACACCGACGACCAGTGAGGGACTGGGATGGACTGGGATTGGGACTGGGATGGACTGGGAGGGACTGGGATGGACTGGGATGGACTGGGATGGACTGGGATTGGGACTGGGATGGACTGGGAGGGACTGGGATTGGGACTAGAATTGGGACTAGAATTGGGACTGGGACAGACTGGGATTGGACTGGGAGTCACTGGTTTGGACTGGGATGGACTGGTTTGGACTGGGACAGACCGGTTTGGACCGGTTTGGACCGGTTTGGACCGGTTTGGACTGGTTTGGACTGGTTTGGACTGGGACAGACTGGTTTGGACTGGTTTGGACTGGTTTGGACTGGGATTGGGACCGGTCTGGACTGGTTTGGACTGGGATTGGGACTGGGACAGGCTGGTTTGGACTGGTTTGGACCGGTTTGGACCGGTTTGGACTGGTCTGGACTGGGTTTGGACTGGGATTGGGACTGGTCTGGACCGGTTTGGACCGGTCTGGACTGGTTTGGCGGTTCCGGGATCCATTCCCGGCCCCATTCCGGATCCGTGTTTTCCCAGGATGGGCGGAATTCCCGCCCGGAATTCCCGGGGCGAGCGGCTGCTGCTCTACATCGGCATCATCGACATCCTGCAGTCCTACAGGTCTGCTCGTTAATTACTGATTGATTAATTACTAATTAATAATTAATGAATCTGAGATATCCCGACATCCTGCAGTCCTACAGGTCTGCTCATTAATTAATTACTGATTATTAATAATTAATAATTAATGAATCTGAGATATCCCGACATCCTGCAGTCCTACAGGTCTGCTCATTAATTACTGATTAATTAATTACTAATTAATAATTAATGAATCTGAGATATCCCGACATCCTGCAGTCCTACAGGTCTGCTCATTAATTAATTAATAATTATTAATTATTAATAATTAATGAATCTGAGATATCCCGACATCCTGCAGTCCTACAGGTCTGCTCGTTAATTAATTACTAATTATTAATTAATAATTAATGAATCTGAGATATCCCGACATCCTGCAGTCCTACAGGTCTGCTCATTAATTACTGATTAATAATTAATTATTAATTAATAAATTCCAGATATCCCGACATCCTGCAGTCCTACAGGTCTGCTCGTTAATTACTGATTAATAATTAATTAATAATTAATAAACTGCAGATTTCCCGACATCCTGCAGTCCTACAGGTCTGCTCATTAGTTAATTAATAATTAATTAATAATTAATAATTAATGAATCTGAGATATCCCGACATCCTGCAGTCCTACAGGTCTGCTCATTAGTTAATTAATAATTATTAATTATTAATAATTAATAAACTGCAGATTTCCCGACATCCTGCAGTCCTACAGGTCTGCTCGTTAATTAATTACTGATTAATAATTAATTAATAATTAATAAACTGCAGATATCCCGACATCCTGCAGTCCTACAGGTCTGTTCATTCATTAATTAATAATTAATTAATAATTAATAATTAATGAATCTGAGATATCCCGACATCCTGCAGTCCTACAGGTCTGCTCATTAATTACTGATTAATTAATTACTAATTAATAATTAATGAATCTGAGATATCCCGACATCCTGCAGTCCTACAGGTCTGCTCATTAATTACTAATTAATTATTAATAATTAATAAATTCCAGATATCCCGACATCCTGCAGTCCTACAGGTCTGCTCATTCATTAATTAATAATTATTAATAATTAATAAACTGCAGATTTCCCGACATCCTGCAGTCCTACAGGTCTGCTCATTAATTACTGATTAATTAATTACTAATTAATAATTAATGAATCTGAGATATCCCGACATCCTGCAGTCCTACAGGTCTGCTCATTAATTACTGATTAATTAATTACTAATTAATAAATTCCAGATATCCCGACATCCTGCAGTCCTACAGGTCTGCTCATTCATTAATTAATAATTATTAATAATTAATAAACTGCAGATTCCCCGACATCCTGCAGTCCTACAGGTCTGCTCATCAATTAATTACTAATTATTAATAATTAATTAATGAATCTGAGATATCCCAACATCCTGCAGTCCTACAGGTCTGTTCATTAATTAATTAATAATTATTAATAATTAATAAACTGCAGATTTCCCGACATCCTGCAGTCCTACAGGTCTGCTCATTAATTACTGATTAATAATTATTAATAATTAATGAATCTGAGATATCCCGACATCCTGCAGTCCTACAGGTCTGTCCCCAGTAATTAATCACTAATTAGTAATTATTAATTAGACAAAGGCTGGGAATTCTGTGGGAATTCTGTGGGAATTCCATAAAAAACCCCAGAATTCCGTGGGAATTCCATAAAACCCCGGAATTCCATGGGAATTCCATAAAAAACCTGGAATTCCGTGGGAATTCGGTGGGAATTCCATAAAAACCCTGGAATTCCGTGGGAATTCGGTGGGAATTCCATAACAAACGCCAGAATTCCATGAAAAACCCCGGAATTCTGTGGGAATTCCATAAAAAACACGGAATTCCATGGGAATTCTGTGGGAATTCCTTGGGAATTCCATAAAAACCCCAGAATTCCATAAAAAACCCCAGAATTCCGTGGGAATTCCATAAAAAACCCCAGAATTCCATAAAAAACCCCAGAATTCCATAAAAATCCTGGAATTGCCGGGAATTGCCGCTCGCTCCCTCCCCCCAGGTTGGTGAAGAAGCTCGAGCACTCCTGGAAGGCGCTGGTGCACGACGGGGTGAGTGGGGAAAACCCGGAATTCTCATGGAAAAACGGGAATTCTGATGGGAAAAATGGGAATTCTGATGGGAAAAATGGGAATTCTGATGGGAAAAATGGGAATTCTGATGGGAAAACGGGAATTCTGCCAGAAAAACCGGGAATTCTCATGGAAAAACGGGAATTCTGATGGGAAAAATGGGAATTCTGATGGGAAAAACCGGGAATTCTGATGGGAAAAATGGGAATTTTCATGGGAAAACCGGGAATTCTCATGGGAAAACTGGGAATTCTGCCAGAAAAACCGGGAATTCTGATGGGAAAAATGGGAATTCTGCCAGAAAACTGGGAATTCTCATGGGAAAACCGGGAATTCTCAGGGGAAAACCGGGAATTCTCATGGAAAAACGGGAATTCTGCTGGGAAACTGGGAATTCTGCCAGAAAACTGGGAATTCTCATGGGAAAAATGGGAATTCTGCCAGAAAAACAGGGAATTCTCACGGGAAAACCGGGAATTCTCATGGGGAACCAGGAATTTTCATGGGAAAAATGGGAATTTTCCTGGGGAAATGGGAATTCTCATGGGAAACCGGGAATTCTCATGGGAAAAATGGGAATTTTCAAGGAAAAATGGGAATTTTCATGGGAAAACCGGGAATTCTCATGGGAAAAACGGGAATTTTCAAGGAAAAATGGGACTTCTGTAGGAAAAAATTGGAATTTTCCTGGAAAATATGGGAATTCTCATGGGAAAAATGGGAATTTTCAAGGAAAAATGGGAATTCTCATGGGAAAAATGGGAATTCTCATGGGAAACCGGGAATTCTCATGGGAAAAAT